ACCGGCCCCGGCGCGACTACCGCGAGAGGCGCGATGATCGGCGCGATGCTCGCGGATACAGCAGTGCAGCTGGACGGCTTATTTGTTTTTTTGTTTAAGTTTTAAGTTTCAAACTATAATAGATAATGGTTATAGTTTGCTTTATGTATGTTTGTTAATTTCTTATGTTTCTATAACAGAAATAAATAGTTTGTGGTTTGGTGTGCATGTTCTTGCAGCAGCTCAGGCTTCCTCGGACCGGCGCCATGGCTACGGCGGGAAGGGTGCAGGGAGGAGCTCTGCAGGGAGGGGCGCGCGGCCGCCGATGGACCCCAATCGGGGTGGAGCCCAGTCCAAGGTGAGCATGCTTATCAATGCTCACCGGACGAGTGGCTGGAGTCGGGAGCTCTGGGAGCTGGCAGAGCAGATGATGCTTTCCTTGGATGAGCGCCGTGACGCTATAGAGCCCGGTTCCTGGGCTGACAAATTGTTTCAGCTCTGCCATGCAATTCTTGAGGATGAGAGCGAGGAACGCTTTAGGGAGCTGGCGGAGCGCTATCTGGGCGCTGACTCGTTGCGCCAGGCGGTGACCAACAGGTACTGGCAGTCCTGGCGCCGGGGCGGGTACGAGCGCTAGGCGCTGGTGGCGAGTGGGCGCATGCCGCCGTTCAGTGCTTTGCAATGGGCGCTTGACGCCGGTAGGTGTAGGAGCTTCTCACAGCTGCCAGCAGCACGCACATGCGGCCCGGTTGTAGGGTTTAAACCCTATATGTATACATGAGAAATAATAAATAAGGTTATGTACGTACATATAATATAGTTTAGAAAGGGCTGCATGTGTGTGCCGTGATGGCAGTACAGACGGGTGTGCCTCGTCCACCGACAAAAAGAGTGTGAGTGTAGGGTTTAGGGTTTAGGGTTTAGGGTTTAGGGTTTAGGGTTTAAGGTTTAGGGTTGAGGGTTGAGGGTTGAGGGTTTAGGGTTTAGGATGATATATAGCACCTAAACTACACAAATCACGCCGATTCGCAACTAAACCATAAACTCTGAACCCTGAATCCTAAACCTTAAACCTTATATAGTGTTTATTGCACAACATATATCATGTAGACTTTGTGTAATTGATATGCAGCATAAACCAAATTTTGATTGTTCCGCTGATGGAATACCGTGGTGCTTATAATGATGGTTTATGGTTTAGGGTTTAAGGGTTTAGGGTTTAGGGGTTTAGGGGGCTGGGGGCTGGGGGCTAGGGGCTGGGGGCTGCTGGGGTCAGGTGATGATGAAATGTTGCGTTATAATGGGTTGAGATTTGTGTTTTGGGACTGTATAGGTGTGCTTTGGTGGTGCTTCATGTAATGATTTGCGACATGAGCCAAATATTCAGAATTTATAAACATAAATTCTGATTTATTTTTTTGAAATTCAGAATTTATAAATATAAATTGTGATTTAATTTTTGGAAATTCAGAATTTACAAATATAAATTGTGATTTATTTTTTGGAAATTCAGAATTTACAAATATAAATTGTGATTTACTTTTTTGGAAATTCCGAATTTACAAAAATAAATTCTGAATTTTTTTGGAAATTTGAAATTTATAAATATAAATTCTGATTTATTTTTTTGAAATTCAGAATTTATAAATATAAATTCTGATTTAATTTTTGAAATTCAAGATCTACACATACAAATTGTGATTTTTGCTACCCATCACTGAAATCAGCACCGAACAGCACCACCCAGCCCGCCCCGCCGGCCCCAGCCCCTCCCGCCCACACACACCCAACCCAACCTCC